ACATAAATCTCTCAAGTAGCAAAAGGACACTCTATCAAAATGAGGACCTAATGCCAGGGGCGTAAGTGGAGAGGATATGTTTTGAGAATGATGAGGGCAACAAATGTACAAATGTGCTTTTCACAATTGATGTATGTATGGATTGTGATAAGAGTTGTATGAGCCCCTAATAAAACGAATAAAAAAAACACCCCCCAAAATTAAAAGAAAAAACCAAACTTTTTCTGGAAACAACATTCCCCTCATGTCTGTTATTTGCACCAACTGAGCAAAGGTAACATGGATGGCCTTTGGACCACAGGCGAGATAAAGGCAGAAGTAATTCGTCATGGATTTGGACTGTGGTTTTCACTAAACTGCCCCCACAGAATGTTCAACGTGGCATCTTTTCATTTCCCAAATTTCCCAAAGTCCTCCGCTTGTGTGGCTGTGCATGCGAGCGGTGTGCACGTGTGTATGTGTTTGTTCTGTGGCTGCTGCCACCACTGTTAGGCTTACTGTGAAATCATGTCAAATTACCCAATATTCTATGATCTTTAACATCTAAGAAGCCTTTATGTGCAATATATGTGGCACCACTAAGCAAATGGAGAGCGGCATTTTTTAACCGTATGCAGTCTGGGGGATTGATCGATGCCTTAAATTATGGATCATATCACAGGCCCTGTCAACTCTGAGGAATACATTCATTTTATTATACTAGGAAAAATCAGGGGGAAAAGTCACAGATGTTAAAATCATAGGTTTATGAAGATGCCCATTGATGTATGGTACATTTAGATTACTTTTTAACATGAACCATCCCAGTAAAAATTTAATAAAATAAGGAATCCATCAATGCCCCACAGGCATGCCTTCCTTGCTATGGTAGGTGTACGCCTGAAAGATGGGTGGAAGAACAAAACTATACAAATGCAATCCTATTTTAAAAACATTAGGGAGCATTGCTATCTAAGATGCCTGATGATGCTATCTGTCAAATAAATGCTGCTTTGTCTTTAAAAATTAATGCATTCATGTTATTGTATAGCTTTGAGTCTTTTACAGACAATATCAGGGTAAAATAGAAGTTGGGAGTCGTGGAGGTTTACTGTTAGAAGTCTTCCTTTCCATGCGTTAGTCTGGGTAAACCAGGGAAACAAATCCACAGAAACTCATATATGTAAGAGAGAGTTTTATATAAAGGGTAAGTGTACATTAAGAAAGCATGCCAACCCAGTGCTGTCCAAGCCCGTAAGTCTAACATTAGCCCATATGTCCGACACCAATCTACAAAGTCCTCCTGAGATTGAGAAGACGGAGGTTGCTATGAGATGGAATTGACTGGCGACATCAGTTTGGTTTTCATTGGTAGGTCCCTGGTGTTGCCAAGTGCGCACTGGTCGACTCAGCTAAAGGTTCATTTAAACCAACCCGGGAGCAGCTCACAAGGCAAGCTGTCAGTCTGCATCGGTAAAGACTACCATCAAGAAAACCCTAGGGCGCACCTCTGCGCTGTCCCACGTGCTGTCCTCATGGATCAGCTTCAACTCCAAGGGAACATATTTCTTCCCTTGTTTCAGAACCCGAACCCCGTATGCCTTTCAAGGGGGATTAAGCTCTTTGTGGGGCGGCTGATATTTGGATCATCTGACAAGATAGAGTCTTTCACGTTTACCCCCTCATTTTTTGACTGGATACTTACTACATAGTTCTAGATACCAGCAGGCTACTTTTTCAAACTTCTGCTTTCAAAAACCCATGCACATACATATTCCAGGGGATCCTGGACAAATAAATGATTTGCTTTTACACCGTCTTGGAGTTAATCGTCAGAATATACTAAATGTGATTGCATAATGCTCGTGCGATGAGTCATCTGGAAACAGGGGGCAGGGACATTATGTTAACAGGCTCTTTTCTGTTATCTGAGCAAACAGAAAAGGGAAAAGAAAACCCCTTTAGTTCTGCCCTTGGCGTGTGGAGTTCACAGTGTCACTTCCTGTTCCTGTGGGCGGAAGGGGAAGGAAGAGCCCCACCAGGTTCATCTAAAGTGGTTCTTTTCACTGCCGCACGGTGAGCCCTGGAATATCACATTATCCTAATTTCTGATAGAGAGGAAAGGGCCTTCAAATGCAGTCAGGTTGTTTCATAAATCACTGGCTCAAGACCTTGCTTCAGATTGACACAAAATAGCTCTTCCCTGCAATGCCAAGGCAAGCAGTTTCAGCATGCGGAAACTGTCATGGAGATGGATAAAGACGAGCTGCACATTCTGTCCTCAGTAGATAACAGGGGCACATCAAGCACTGGGTGCAGCAGGGGCAAATATGGCACTCTCCCTAGGAGAGCCAAGCAGGGTAGAAGCCCGGCTTGATCTTCATGGCCTCTCACTCTCTTTCTGACCCAGGGCACCTGAGGACTCGGCACTTGGCAAAAATGACAACAGAGAAGGGAGTCTCTCCATGGAAGGCACACAGCACTACAGACTGTGAAGGCTCCAAATGGGCATGAGCGCCCCAGCTAACACAGGTGACTCTAGGGCAAAAATGGTAAAGTCTGTTTAACTGCATTGTTATTAAAGAGAAAGAAAACCCTAAATTATTTCCATAAATATATTTATTTACATTCAAAACCAATGTTCTTTAGATTACCTTCCTTTTGCTACAAAAAATAGGCTGACCTTGACCCTCATGACTGCATTCACATACACATCCTTCAGCAAACTCACACTTGGTTGGTTTAGAGATCTCTCTGTCCTTTCCCTAGCTCTGAAATTCACCAGACTCGGTCCACGTATATGAGGTGTAGTCATTAGAGCTTGGGGCTCTAAATTATAAACAGAATAGTCGATGTGTTTATGGGAGCCTCACCACCTTCAGGACAGCAAAAAGGTAGGATTTGTTTACATATCATGCCTTATTGACTCGGGATTTGTTTTCCAGGATGCCCGATGGAAAATACAGCCCCACACACACTCCCACACACAGTGGGGCCTCCCACAGTTCATCAGCTTCCTGGCAAAAGGACCATTTGAAAACTGGCAAGAAATACCTAACAAAACAAATCCCACTCCTTGTAGCCTCTGTTCTGCCAACCGTAAAGATGTGGTCGTGTGGGATGGCAGTGTGAGCTCCGTGGTGCAGCCCCCAGAGGGGAGGCTCCACTCAAGGAAAGGGAGTAGGCTGCAGCCTAGGCCCCCTTCCCTTTGGAAGGCCCTCCCTGGACAACCTCTTTCTATTCATTTGTTCTAATCTTTCCTCAGATCAGGCGGGCAGCCCATTAATCATGTCTGTCATTCCCTCACAGAATCCAGGGCAACAGATCACTGTTGTCCTAAAACCAGAGCCACAAACTAAGTGGGAGAGAGGAAATCCCTTCCTCCTGCTGGCAGCGCTGGCTGAGGTGCCGCCTGGAAGAAGCCACCCATTGTGCGCACTCTCCTCTCTTGCCCAGGTTTGCAGGGAACCTTCTGTGGAAAGTTTTAAGGAGGATTCGGTATGAAGGGGAGCTGGGGAGCCTGTGAAGGAAACCCACATTAAAGCAGAAGGGGGAGGAAGTGGAAAACGAAATGCCCGGACAAAGACAGATACGGATGAAGGACATCCTTACACGCGTATTTACTCCTGTCAACTCTTTTAACAACTTCAGGCAGCAGAAAACTTCTATGAAAGGTCAAAGCAACAGCCATCCTGGACTGTCTACAGAGGGAAACTAATCAACTAACATTAACCCAATCCAAGAAGACACTCTCAAGTGGGGAGGAGAAAGTCCACGACGGCACTGACATACCTGAATCCATAAGAAGGTGCTATCACCGGAGCCCCAGGGCGCCTTAGATGCATTTTTATTTGAATAAGGGCTAGGAGAAAAGGGCGAGGCTCGATGCCTGGTGGCAGAAAACAGAGCAGGGCAGCAGATGCGTGTAAACGGAATGCAGAAGTCAGGCTTGCTAAGGATGGTGTTAGATCACCCAGATACCACCCAAGGACTCTCCAGAGTGTCCCCGGACCAGTTCAGAATTCAATGGCCACCAGTAACGTGTAGAGGAGAAGAAATCCCCAGCCTTGGTTTCGACCCCCGTGTCCAACAGTACCAATAGAGAAGGTCTGAGGAAGAAAGGGGAGTGGGTTGCGCTGACCTTCCAAGATTCTTGGACTCCGGGTGGTGGATTATGGTGGTTGCATGATCTCTTGCCTTCCTGAAATCCATGAATTTATCATCCTTGTGACAATGGGCCTATGTTACCAGAGCAAGCTGGGTGGATTTCACCCAATTTAGTGCTTCCCATTTGTTGCATTGACTCAAACTGTAATGAGTAGTGATCAGTAAATGTATGTCTTAAGTGAGTTGATATCCATACTTAAAAAAAAAAGAGTTTGTAAAGGATTTCCTTAAACACAAATTAAAGCCAGTGTTTCATTCTGTTGTGCATAGGGCCTCTATGAATTAGAGGTGGCTTGATGGTAGCTAGCAGCAAAAGCAACAAGGTCAGCCTATTTTCTTGATTTCTGCTATGCCTTCTAAGGTCAAAGACATATGCTATATTAGACTGTACAATCTTGCGTTTCTCCATAGCATAATTGATTCAACTGCTATTTATCAAAAAAATACTGGCAGTTACTATGTTCAAATTGAAAAATACAGAATGCAAGAGCTATTACACATGTGGCTACAATGGTACCCAAAAAAAAAACTACAAACTATTAACAAAATACATAGAGCATTGCCTCTCATAAACTTAACAGTACATAGCTAAGATTTGAGCAATTTAAGGAATTTTCAAAGGTAAATTTGCTTAAATACAGTTTTGTCAGCCCGACTCCCACTTAACCGTGATACAATTCAGAAGGAAGGATATAATATTTGCTCCAAGCTTTCCCCTAGCTGTAAATTCAGCTCTGTGGAATGTGTACCACTCTACTTCATGTCCCCACAATAGACATGTTTGTGTTTATATAAGGGACAAAGAAGGAAATAATTTGAAGATCAAGAAATATGAATATAGAAATTAAGCTTACCATGAATGCTATTGTACTTCTCAATGTAGATTCCCACTGGAAGCAGCTTTTAAGAAATTGCACAGTATTCCATATTGCCATGGTGATTTTTTTCACACGGTCTACATCTCTTGATAAGATCTGATAAAATAAAAAGAAAAATAAGAAGCTAGATTTAAATACTCCGTACAGTCTCCTTAGATCAGTTAAACTGGTCATTTGAATTATATTTTGTTTAGTTGCCAATTAATAAAGAAAGTAAATGAGTGGAAATAGCCTAATACATCTTTTTGAAATTCTTTGTGAAAGGTGAACATTGATAGATGAGAAAATTCAAGGAGTCGCATAGCTCCTTTGTTACAGTAACATTCATCATGAAACTATAAGCAATCAGGTGTTTCGTGTATGTGTACTCACATGTGTAGGTGTATGTCCGTGTGTGAGAGAGAGAGGAAGAAGGAGGAGGGGGAGAAACAGGAAAAAAATGAGTGGTGGGGTTAGTTTGGCAAGAAATAGATTATGTTAAATTAGAAATATTCAAGTATTATAGCTCATATAATCGAAGGAAAACCGTGTATAGGAAGATGTAGGTCACCAAAGGGCATCCAGTTTTACCTTTCCAAAGATGTGCAACACTGGGCAAATTTCTCAGCCACTCTCTTATAAAATGGGGTTGATATTAGAATTAATTATAGGTAGTGGAGCAGATCAATGTACTTAGAAAATGTGTGTGGTCGATAGTCAAGTGATTTTAAGTATTTGTATCATAAGCAAAAGTTGCACATTTATGGAAAACTTTGGAAGTGGTGAGTGGTGAGTGGCACATGCGAAGGTCTTATCCACAAATCCTCAGGTGTCCAGACTCACCCCACACGGAAGCAGTGTTTTGCAAAGGAAATATCTTTTCTCCCAGGTGTAAGCAGATTCATTTCAATTTATTTGGAAAGCAGCTACCCCACCCACGTCAACCCAGGTTTTAACTTTTAAGCACGCAGAGCAAAAGGCAATAATAATAATAAAATAAGACATTTACTCCAGTTACACAAAATAAATATTGCACTCAATGTTAGGGTCGACGGAAAGAAAACATTCGGATGCTTCTCTTCAGAAGTGAAAGCATTTCCCAAGTGTGCCCAGACATTGGTGGGAAACAAAAGGACCATAAGCGGTCCTTCGCTGCTTTACGGAATCCACAGCTGCTCACCCCAAAGGAAGTGGTGGAAGTAATAAACAGTTTGAAAAGGGGACACTCCGTTCTTTGTTACACAATTGAAGAGGGACAATAGGTACAGAGTGAAATCCTGAATTGTATCTGATTGTGACAGGGAGGGGCTCTGAAAAGAAATGCAAAGGTCATGCTTAAAAAACTGTAAACTTTCCTTTGCTGGGCCCTCATCTTCTCTTAAGTGGAAGTGATGTGAGAAGAATGTAGGGAACAGACAGGAGGAGATGTTCATCAATTTTAGTGAAAAATGCCAATATATCCCGAGTAGGGACCATCCCCAAAGTATAACAAGTAGTACTGGCTCATTGGACAGAAGAGTTTAATGGGCACATCCTAGGATTGGGACAAAAATGGTTGCCATTACAGGAGAGGCAAGGAATCTCTGGGTGGTGCATGTGATTAACTTGGCCAGTTGCTAACCTAAAGGCTGGAGATTTAAAGCCAACCAGAGGCACCTCATAAGGACTACTTATAAAACAATCAGACACCCAAATGCCCATTGAGCACAGTTCGACACTGACACGCATGGAGTCCTCAGCTGATAGGCAAGGAAAGTAAATCTGGAAGGGTGTTTATGGAGCCTGAACAGGAGGGATTTCTGTTTGCAAAATAATTCAGGAGAACAGTCAAGGCTGATAACTTTGGCCTCCTCCAGTCAATATTTTGAAGTTCTTGCCTTCTCGACGAGAAAAAATTAATAAAGATATCTTACTTTGATTTCACCTTTTTCCTTATCAATAAAGCAAATATAAACCAAAAAACGTTCTGGTCGAATCCTGCCAATGGTTTTGAATCTCCCAATGGCATATGTCTTGTCTTTTCTGTTCTAAGCCAGCTTTACTTAACTTACCGGTATTTCAAACAATATAATAGCTGCAGGTTGGTGGAGGGCCAGAGACCATCGTGTGACTGCATATCAGTTGTCCTCAGTAGAAAGATTCAAGCACTCAATCACATATGAAGATTGACCTACCCAAACCTGCTGCCACAGAATGGATTCCTGAATAGTTTATCTTCTGTTTCGCCTCTCTCCCCTTCTCTTATAACCATTATAATAAGCTACTTTGGGCCGTCTGCTTCTCTATGGAATCAGAATGCGCTCTCTCTAGAATAACTTCTCCAAATAGCCCTTATATTTAAATTTCTTTGAATTTTGATCATTTTAGCACTTTCCTTATTGATTTGATGTATTTGTTTTGGTGACGGGGTGGCAAAGAGAAAGGAGGCATAAAGGGTAAGATAGCAGGTGATAATGCATGAGCTCCCTGAGCAATGAGTAGGCACCCTAACCAGTCAGTAAACAGTACCAACCTACCTTTTTGGACAGCTTGCGGCTGTCTTCAATCAAGCGCTTTTCTCTGGGAGCAAAGGTCCTAACACTTGCTTTGACCTATAAAGACATGATTGTTAAAAATGGCAGCACTTATAAAAATGTAATTTTTCATTTTCTTTTTTCTTCTTAGTGACTGGGAAGAAATGTGAAAATCAGTAGTTTTGCTTATCATAAAATGGAAATTATACCAACGCACCAGGTTTGTGGTGAGGATTGAATGAAGTGATAAGTGAGTGGTCAGTACGTGGCAGCCTCCTAGAGTAATCGCAGTAATGGTCTACCTCACTTGAATAACCTGTGTGCCACTCTCCCTCTGTAGAACCTGCCATTGACAACCACACATCCTCCATGCACGCATCTTGGCAAATCCCTCTGCAGTGCCAAGCCACCTCTGCACAGGTCAACTGTACTCACCATGAATCAGCCCGCTTGTTCCCAAACCTATTCAGGCCAGCTTTACTTGTTATGGTAATCCCATAATTAATCATTGTCTAAGTGTTAAGTATGTACAAAGAATTGAAAGAGCATTGAAATATATTTTGCTTTAGAAAGACTTGAAAAGGTTACTGAAAAGATACTGTTATTGAGGCAAAGTTTTTTTGGGAAAAAATCTGGAGAGATTATCTACTCAGTTTATTTAGCAAGTGTCTTTGAAATACCCTTCACTTTAAGGAAATTAAATCTAGAAGTTATATGTTACGGGCATGAATTGTGAAAGGAACAGGGTATAAATGTATAGATCCATACACAAAAGAATAAAGAAGGAGGCGTGTGGTAAATAAATGTGGATTTACATATTTTACTTTGAAACGCAATTTAGTATAAATATTTTTCTTCTTAAACTCCCATTTCAATAGACTTGCCATGATTGTGTGCTGTATATCAAGGGTGCCAACTATAATAATTAAATAATACCCGAAGTCCTTGAAAATATCTCTGTCCAAAAGCCAACTGCTGCCTTTAAGAAAATTATAGAAAATAAACAAAATAATAATAATAAATTTCCCCATGATTGCTCTTTGTTTTCATGACATACACATTTATTGAGAATGAAACAACAGAATTTCTACTGGTTTGGCATGGTTCTGGGAGATTTTTAGACCCAGGACCGTCTTCCCATTTCACTCCAGCTTGAAGTCTGGAACATTGCTTATAGTGGCTCAAGTTTGAAAAAGGTTATGATACAGTAGGTATGAAGAAGTTGGGGGTATGGTCAGTGAGACTTACGGGATTATATATGAGATCCATCTCCAAGTAGATAAGTCCCTTAAAAGCTTGTTCTAAATCTTTATTCTTCAACACGTAACAATTTGCTTGCCCATCTCGAATCTGTGATGAAAAAGAAAAGGAAATGTTAGTGTTAGCTTTCCATCTGGTTTAAACCCAATAAGCAGATCCAATATTGGCCAAGTTGGGAATGATCAAGGATAAAGCAAACATTAAACTTATTATTAGTCAACTTGTCATTCGAGGGTGCTGTGAAAAATGACCGGAGGGTGCCGAGGTGGGTGCCGAGGCGTGCTGCTAACCCTAAAGTGCTACAGGTCGGAAGAGACTACATGCAATAGACAAATCCAGTACAAGGTGGTACCTGGGTTGGATACTGAAAGTAAATGGTGAATAATGGAGAAAAAACAGACAGGTGTGTAGTTTGACAGTATTGTACGAAGGTCTGTTTCTAAATTTTGACAAATGTATCATGCCAATGTCAAATTGTTCAAGGCCCACATCAGAGGAGACTGGGTGACAGGCAGATGAGCATTATCTTTGGAAGTTAGCGGTATCTACAGATTTTATCTAAAGGGATTTCAAAATAAAACATATATTCAGATAGCTTTAGAAATAAAGAATTCCATTTTTAATTTAAAAAAATGTTTTCACTAGCCAGCACCTAGTGTACAAATAAATATAGCTAAATATTTGGAGAAAATCTAAAACTATTTAATATGCACAAAGTGCCAGCAAACCTTGAAAAAAGCAAATCCCTCTGATACCACTCTGCCAACACACCAATTCCATCCTCTGATCTGCTGTCTGATCCCCACTGCATGAGGGACCTAAGAGCCAGATCCTGGACCACATTAGCAATGCTTTAGATCCCACTCAAAGTCATTCTCTATTCAGATCTGGGAGTGGCACTGCTTTATTATACACAGTAAGCATATATACTGATTCACTATTTGGCTTTTAAGGAAGTCTACCCTATTAACTATAAAAGGGAATCAGCAAACTCCATTTGGCACTATAATGACCAACGGTTGAAAACAACTTGAGAAATGTGAGGGCATGAAGTCTGAGCCATATTTTAAATTGCTATTGCTGTCACTACAAGTATTTAGCACAAGTATCCTTATCAACGGTGGTGGAAAGGAGTTGAATCAGTCACGGGGAAACAGAGCCATTCCACATTACAAGGGAGAGGCCACTTTCCTTCCCGAAGTCACCCCACCTCTCCAGATTGAATAGACTTGAAACAGAAAATGGCTTCCTGGCCAGCGGCTGAGAGGAAGGGGGCGCCCCATAAAGACCTGATTTCCTTCTGAAACGGTGTCCAAACAGGATTCCGAGCTTCCGCTGGTATCCAGTCTCACTTAATAAATTGGGGGTGTTAAAGTTGAAAAAAGAATAAAGACAAAAACAGAATGATAATTTGCCAAGCTGAATTTGGTCCAACTTCGCTTTGCCTAAAATCACAGCCATTACACAGTCATCTTAAAATTTCCATGACTTCTCAGGGGTTAGAAAAGGTCAACTTAAGAACAAGAGTTATCCGTAGGAAATGAAATATCTTATACCAAAAAAGGGACTTTTTCTTCTTTTACTTTTTTCTTTCTTTCTTTCTTTTTCTGCTAAATGACCATTTCCACTTTTTCAATGCCCTTGCATGTGTCAGCAAAACACAGAATTCATAGAGGAACATTAAAGCCGTCATGAAGGCTACAGACCTAAGAAAAGCTACCATCTTTAGCACAGTAACAAAATCATCTTACAATTTAAAATTAAGCACTTTAGAATTTATAAAGATTTTAAAAATTGTAGGACCCTCCCCAGCAGCCATCACAAACAATGGAAATTTAATTTCCACAAACATCACAATCCCTTTTCTTTCCTAGGTGGGAAGTTGGTATAAACCTTCCCAATTTTTTAATAGAGAATTTATATTCTTAAGTATCCACCTATGAAAAAAGTATTTATTTATTTATTTGCCTAAGTGTTTAAATAGGAGCTCTGGTGGCATAGTGGTTGCACACTGGGCCGAGATCCACAAGGTCAGCAGCTACAAACCACTAACTACTCTTAGGAAAAGAGGGGGAGCTTTCTCCTCCTGTAAAGAGAAGCCTTGGAAACTGGAGAGCAGTTCTACCCTGTCCTGTAGGGTCACGGTGAATAAGCATCGCCCAGATGGCAGTGACTTTGCTTTTGGTATATTGCGATAGATGATAGAT